GGTTTTAGAGAGCCTGTAAGATCCCCTTCATGACACGTACTCCTGATTTGTTTGCTTGTGACCTTCATTCCTAGGTCAGAGCACTGTAGAGTGCGGGTTTCTATCAAGATCGGAGTGTTTGCCAACCTTCTTCTGCTCTACATCATGTATAGCATCTCTGCTAGTCAGCCAGTTTTCTCAATTAGCTGCTTCATCGTCATAGTGATCCGAACATACGTGCTGGGAGCATTTAGCGCCTGGTGCATTCTCGAAGGCTACAATCTGCATCGCACTACCATGAACGTCTTCACAAGTCCACCCAGACATTTGTTCTGAAATGCATTGCCATTGGGCAAGGTGAGTGTGCCGCCATGGATAAGTCATTGCTATTTTGATCTTCGAGTGTTTCCCATTTACGAGCCTCCCTCGCTATGACTGGCAATAACTCACTGGCCGTGTCTCGTAACGTTATAATACGTATTGCTAGATCATTCTGGGTGATTTGAGGCATGTGTACATGATTGTACTTCTATTGTGATTATTTACTGTACATGCACAGTACATGTACATGTATACCCTACAAGCTAAGTTGCCAATTACCAGTTCTGGCAGTAGTCCTCCATATTGCAAGGTCAGGGTTACTGTAAAAGCCATAATTATATATAACGAAGTGGAAATCTGTCGTTAAAATAGAAATCGTTATACAGAAATCGATACATATACTGTCCTTTTGAGCGTTCAGAATAAGTGAGAATCGTTACCTTTGGTACACATAAACCAATCAATTTTGGAAAATCGTTATAATATATGCGCCTCGTTAGAATAAGTATCTATTATTGCACGATTAAAGAGGTCAATATATTTCATATATTGACCGATTATGAGGGCAATAATAGATTTATCACGACATAGCATACCTAAAACTGTTTTTGCTTTGCTATAGGAAGAAAGGAATACTATTGTAATAGTATAATAGTATGTACATATGCCGTTTACATTGGACATTACTTCTGTGTAAACCGAAGTTTTAAGTTGTCTCTTGTAGTATGTTCCCCAAGTTCTTTGACTGAGAACCTGACAGTTTGGGTTCAAATCCCAGCATTTGGCTTCAGATCTTTCTTCTTTCAGTTCTGATTTTTTTCTAAGTTGAGGAAAAAGTTCTAAGTCCTCGGCTAAGGGCCGGGTTCCACTGCGGCTCCGCGGCACTTGGCTGCATGCAGCGGAGCAGCGCGGTTTCACTGACACTCGCGGGTCGTGGTCCACACTTCTTGATGACGTTTCACCTGCTATGCCTGCGCGCGCGCGCGCGCGCGAAATCCAAAAAATCCTCGTGTTCTGGCCTGCGCAACGAATTAAAATTTGAATTTTAAAATTCTGGCGTACAAAACAATGCAAAGTACGGGAAACAGGTCGAGCCGCGACCGCGGCTCTCAGTTTTTGGTCAAGAATCGTAGCAAAAGCTCGCGGTGAGCCGCGGTCTCGCTGCTCCAGCTCGAGCCGCGGTCACTATGATAATGATGACATTTCAAGCCGCGAAAGACGAGCAGCGGAGCCGCAGTGGAACCCGGCCCTTAGTGGTCAATATAAGCGGTCAGTGCGGCTGTTGCCAGTCTGCGAGGCCATCGGCACCGCGTGCCCTCAGATGCAAACGACTCTTTGCGGTTGCCATGAGCAGCATCGGTTAAAGCTCCCTCCCGAGGCTCCATACTAGACTGTTTTCACAGCCATTTTTGCTCTCTCGACTGTCTTGCTCTCTCGACTGTTTTCACAGCCATTTTTGCTCGTTTTTCTTCCGGTGCTGTTGAGGTTGCACTCGCAATTGTGTTTATTCCCGTAGCTATGCAGAAGACGTTACTTCAGTAACGTCTGGCGTTAGCCAGGGTCCACACAGCTTTAATTTGGCATTTGTGTGTTTGTTTGTTTGTTTGTGTCACGCCTGGCGCTATCCCGTATCTGTCCCGTACCGTACCGTACCATCAAACACAGCTGGCCACATACAGCTGGCTGCAATATTCAAATAGGGCTTTCAAACGCAAGATCATAACGTGAAGCAACTTGGAAGAATGGGTATGAATGCGAAGTGTATGGGGGAATGCATGTAGGGCGATAGTGCGGGTTCAAATCCCAGGATATGCCTGAAAAAATAGGAGAATTGAAAAATTTATAACATTCCTATGCTTTTTTGCCGTCATCAAGGCGGTAGACGGTGTCGTATTACCCTCGATCGTACCTGTCCCGTACCTATCCCGTACCGTACCGTACCATCAAAGACGGCTGGCCACAATGCATATTCAAATAGGGCTTTCAAATGCAAGATCATAACGTGAAGCAACTTGGAAGAATTATTGTAGTATGTATGCGAAGTGTATCGGGGGATGCATGCAGGGCGCGCGATAGTGCGGGTTCGAATCCCAGGTTATGTCTTTAAAAAAAAGGAAATTTTTAAAGAATTTTTAACATCCCTATGCTTTTTTGTCTAGTTCATCAAGGCAAAAAAGCATAGCGTAGGGCCCTGAGCTTCCAAGCTCTCTCGTTTTGCCCGTACAAGAGGCTTGGGAATCTGTGAAAAAAAATACATAAGCGGTCAATATAATTATGCTGATATTTGACCGCTTAGAGATCACAAGTTTCTGTGGGGGTCAATAATAAGAGAGTGATAATGGCTTTTACAGTAGATGACTAGGCACCGGCAGATTATGCGGGCATAATTATTGGTGGTGTTTCGCTAGGCTTCTGCCGAACGCAGTCCCGTAATGGGCCGTATACCAAGCTCACACTCGACAGAGTCACTCACAACACGAAAGACTTTATGGTTGATTAGAAGTAGAACGCCATGTCACCAACCGACTATTTCGTTCTAAGTAACTACATGTGCAAAGAAAAATCGTCTGGAAACGAAAGGCAGCGCAGCCAAACAATGGTACAGCTAAAAACCTCATGCCGCACGCACAAGAACACAACAACCAAAAAGGCTACACGGTGCCAAGGCTGGCTCAGCAAAACCGGCCGCAGCGGAACCTAAATGGTAGCCCGCTGTACAAATAATAATTCGATATTACATCAGGCATCAAGGTGCCCCCAAGGGGAGCACATGAAGACAGTAAGATGCCGCGCCAGGAGATAAAGGTCAAATCACAGAGAACAGACAGCATGACCGCAATGGCAATCAGGAAGAGAAAGCAGATCGCAACTGAACATGACATGAACGTGTAGACTGAACTCCGTGGCATTCTCGCCACGCCAATTGGCATAATTAAATTATTTCGTGGTTGAAAACTTGGAGCATAATTTGGCATCCTCTCGGAGGTAGGAGCATAACTACACGATTATACCACAGTTTTAGTATGTAGGCTACACAATTGTGTACAATGCACCTGATCAGTGCTGGTGCCAGTGGTGGTCTACATGGTAAAGCCTAAGGGTTCGGAGGTCATGCAGATAGTGTTTTCAATGAAAAGCAGAGTAGAAATCATGGCAATACAGTATTGTATGCTCAAACTCGTCTTCTTCAAAGTTCTTTCTCACACTGACACAGTACATGTAGCAGAAGATGCGAATGAATCAGCCTTTATCAGGTATCCCGTAGCGGACGAGATAGTGGCGGGTAGTCCGCAAAACTCCGTGTACATGTACATGTACATTACATTTGTACATTATGCATGTTACGAAGTCATGACCTCTTGTAGTCTGGATTTTAGCAGCCATGATATGACTGCAGGCTATGGATATTGCTCGAAATTGATGTATAGTTGATGTTCGGTCATGATGAAAGGAGAAGTGGAGCTGCGGGAGAGATGAGCTGATTATTCGCAGGGTGAGGGTGACATCGGTTGGACGAGTATGATGACTATGAAGACCGTGAGTTGAACATGATACTTTTCAAAGGTAACTCAAACTAATTTGGCAATGAAATAAATAATATTTTTACTGAAGTACAAAAGAAATGTAAAGAACTCTTCCTCTCCTCTCCTCCATGCGCTCTCACAGCCGACTCACTGCTGCCCGAGGCTCAGTAGCCATTACACACACCAACCAAGGAAGGGTTGCAGGTAGATACTAAATTCCTCCTGACAGCTGTTTCGCCTTCATAAGGCTCATCAGAGAAGGTGATATTGAATAGGATGATATCAGGTGGAGATGGTCAGATTTATACTACAAAACATGGGCGCAAGATTCAGCTTGTGATTGGATTACTCACCTGCCATTTTCTTGGAACCCTTGGCACTGTGTTGCTGGAGAATTGTAACTTCTCATTCTCACACTTTGCCCGTTATCTTGCGACCATGTTTTGTAGTATAAATCTGACCATCTCCACCTGATATCATCCTATTCAATATCACCTTCTCTGATGAGCCTTATGAAGGCGAAACAGCTGTCAGGAGGAATTTCAGTATGTACCTGCAACCCTTCCTTGGTTGGTGTGTGTAATGGCTACTGAGGGTAGCAGTGAGTCGGCTGTGAGAGCGCATGGAGGAGAGGAGAGGAAGAGTTCTTTACATTTTATTGGCCGAATAGCCGCACCATTCACCATTTGAAATAAGTACAAAAGAAGTCAAGTGAATAGAAGAAGTAATGTTTTCTCTTTTCCATGTTGAAATCTAACATGCATGGACACCTTGCAGCTTGGTATGGGGATACTCACGTATTGTGTTGTTCTTATGGCCACTTGCAACTTGCAAGTACGAAAAGGCACAATTTTCCGAACTTTGAGGCTCCATAAGCACAACAAAGTGAATATAATATCCCGAGTGCCAAAGCATAATATGAGGATTTTACGAGCATAAGGCGAGAATCCATGAAAGCATAATTCCATGATTTCGCGAGCATAATCCGTCGGAGCCTATAGATGACACGAGTTTGCAATGGAACGAGGTCCATTCAGCAAATGACTATGTGTACTGTATACGGCCTAAATGTGCCAGCTGTGTGTGCGCTACAAAGTGTGCCAGCTGTGTGTGCGCTACAAAGTGTGCCAGCTGTGTGTGCGCTACAATGTGTGCCAGCTGTGTGTCCGCTACAATGTGCCAGCTGTGTGTCCGCTACTGTTCTGCAGGTACACCGCTGCTAGTTGTTGGGACGGCGGTGGCAATATTGGGACGCTCATTTTCTAGTGAACGGCATCATTCGTAAGTAATTACTTCATCTTATGACTGTTAACGAGCTCGGATACTTAGATAGTACATGCAATAGTGCCGTATCGTTTCTGTATCCTCTCTGGATTACACAGAGGGGTGTAGGGCATCTGTCTTCAGTCGGTTTTGGCCGAGGTAGCTCGTTTACCTGCAGCTTGCCCGGGAACTCTGTAACTCGAGACATGCACACATGTGCAAGTGTAGCAGAGTAAATGTAGTCAGCAGTCATTTGACTGAACTTCCCCAAAATTCTGACCGGCCGACTGTTGAGCCGGTAACCATTACTTCTTGGTCCGGGTGAAACCTTACTTCTTGGTCCGGGTGAAACATTACTTCTTGGTCCGGGTGAAACATTACTTCTTGGTGAGGGTGAAACATTACTTCTTGGTCCGGGTGAAACATTACTTCTTGGTGAGGGTGAAACATTACTTCTTGGTCCGGGTGAAACATTACTTCTTGGTCCGGGTGAAACATTACTTCTTGGTGAGGGTGAAACATTACTTCTTGGTCCGGGTGAAACATTACGTCTTGGTCCGGGTGAAACATTACTTCTTGATCCGGGTGAAACATTACTTCTTGGTCCGGGTGAAACATTACTTCTTGGTCCGGGTGAAACATTACTTCTTGGTCTGGGTGAAACATTACTTCTTGGTGAGGGTGAAACATCACTTCTTGGTCCGGGTGAAACACCACTTCTTGGTCCGGGTGAAACATCACTTCTTGGTCCGGGTGAAACATTACTTCTTGGTCCGGGTGAAACATTACTTCTTGGTCCGGGTGAAACATTACTTCTTGGTCCGGGTGAAACATTACTTCTTGGTCCGGGTGAAACATTACTTCTTGGTCCGGGTGAAACATTACTTCTTGGTCCGGATGAAACATTACTTCTTGGTCTGGGTGAAACATTACTCCTTGGTCCGGGTGAAACATTACTTCTTGGTTCGGGTGAAACATCACTTCTTGGTCCGGGTGAAACATTACTTCTTAAAAAAAAATTATCGTGTCCGTTCCCGAAGGGAACTCACGACGGCCGCTAACACCTGATTAACCCTAGCGGCAGATGCAGCGCCTAACGGTGGGGGTGAGTGGATAAGTCTCACAACCACTGGCACAAGTGCCGAAAACGACCCCATTAGCTGCATCCATGTACCCCTTGTGCCTGGCCACAAGTTCCCAGTTGACTGTGGGTAGTAGCACGGCTGGAAAACCGCTCCCAGGCAGGACTTGAACCAGGTACCTCTCGTATCTCAATCATGGTCTTTGACCAACCCACTGTGCCTGCCTGGTCTTCTTTGTCCGGGTGAAACATTTCACGGTTCGCGTTAGACTCGGCTGGAGGCCGCGTTTTCAGCGTGCATAGGAACGCCCCAACCATCACCATAGGAACGCCACAACCATCACCATAGGAACGCCACAACCCCCAAGGATTTAAGGCGCAGATGCAGCTCCTAAAGCGGTGGGAGGTGAGTAGATCAGACCGACCAAAATGGTCAAAGACCGAAATTTCCATTCGCTGCCTCCATGCTTCCCTCTCTGTTTTCTCAACTCATGTCATGGTCTTAGACCATCCCACAATGCTTGCCTGCCTGCATGGTCCGAATAAGACCTCTAGAAAGTAGAATTCGCTGGTCAAGGCTGAGTTCAAATATTTTGACTACATGCACCTTTCAACTTGTACACAGCGGAGAGAACCAGCCACATTCTGGGCATATTCTGAGAGTCGGGTTTGGTAGATGTGTGAAGTGTACAGTTGCCTTCCAAGCAGTGCAGTGAAAGCTTGTTTAGCCATAGAACAAGACACTACATGCATCTCAAACTTGCATGATTTGCCACTACCATGGTGACTATCATGTGACATACCCGAATAAGGGATCGAGTTGTGTCCATGTATCGGTACTCGATGTATAGCATCCACAAACCGCCTAGCGGCTTGGCAGTGCATACCTGGTGCCATGAATGATAATGATGCCTCATGGGAAACACCCTATTATTAATATTATTATTATTATTATTATTATTATTATTGAATTTTGCCCTAGTAAAATGAAAGTTACTTCGAAGTAATAATATTAAGGGGTACTGTCACCAAAAAATTTCTTTGTCTTATCTTGTGGTTCTTTGGCTCCTGATCACGATGGTGTTTTCCGTTTTTCTCTGCGATGGCTGGAAGTGGGTGAAAACTTGAAAAGAAGGTGCCCAAAATTGTCCCGAAGTACCGAGTGACGTCACGCTGGACTTGACCTCCACGCGTACATTCATCGTCAAAAACGAAGTCCAGCCCGTGTGCTTGTCGATCGAGCTAGCTGTTCCAATGTACGGTGCACGTGGGCCTTTTGAACTGTAACACAGATGGGTAGACCCGGCCGGGTGCTCGAATGAGACACAGGGTACCAAAACAGAAACAGCTTGAAATTGTACCTAAACTTATTCCGATTTCGGTTAGTTTTCACAAATACCATCAACATACGGCCCGCTAACGGTATGCCAAATTTCAGCTCTGCCCGGTTTTTGAAATACTCGCGACCCACTTTTTGTTGGGTCCTTGATTCGAGGATGTGGGTCTACCGTACGGTGGGCCGGTGCTGCCAGCCAAAGACCTGCTGAATCTGCGGCTCCGCTGACCATCTTGCTCTCAAAAACGAAGTAGTAAGTTACTACTCCCTGCCCTCAACTGCCATAACAAGCGTTGACGATGGTAGACCCATGTGCTTGAATCGGAGACGATCTGACGAGTTCGCTGTTTCTGATTCGAGCACCCAATTTTCAAAAAAAATCCGAAGGAAATACGACAATTTTACTGCGTACCGTGGGCTGTGTTGTAGCGCACCCAGGTTCTGAATTCCTGCTGGGTGGGCCAAGCCAGACTCTCTTCCCTGTTCCATCGCCTCTCCAAAAGTATATTCTGACATTGTTGAGATTTACAGATGAGAAATTTCACACCTGCAAATCGTTTCTGATTCGAGCACCCGGGTCTACGTCGTACCGAAGGAGAATGCCAAAGAGGCAGAGACCCACGTGCAGCTACACAGCCAAATCAAAAAAATATAAAGCAGCTGAGCTTTCACCTTTTTGACTTCTTCCGCGAGATCTAAGTTTTATTTTGTGAGCACGGAAGTACGTCGTTGTTTTGAACTTTTCGTGTGAGGAACAACACGATGATGAGTGCGTATGCAGAAAACAGTACTCCTCCGGCCGGCGATAACACCACCACCAACCCGAGCCCCAAAGGAACGCAATGTAGGTACGTGAAGGCGATTCATCTGGCGATGTTGCTGAAGATGCAGATGACAAACTCGGACGTCTTTCATTTCAGAGCCGGTTAGGCAACACCGCCACCTTCAGCTTAGATACAACGACATCATTTCGAAGCATGAGGTGTGTGTGTCACACTAACAGCAAACAAACATACTTCTACTCCTTCGTTATCACAAATTAAACAAAGAGCTGGAGCTTCGTGGAGGAAGTACCAGTACGACAAACTGCTGTCGACTTTTGTTTATTTTGTCCCTTTTCGGCGTTCTCATTGTGTACAACGTACACATCGAGGGTCCGAGTTCAGAAGGCAAGCGTGCACCGTACATCGAACAGTTGGTCCGATCGACCAGCACACGGGCTGGACTTCGTTTTTGACGATGAATGTACGCGTGGAGGTCAAGTCCGGCGTGACGTCACTCGGTACTTCGGGACAATTTTGGGCACCTTCTTTTCAAGTTTTCACCCACTTCCAGCCATCGCAGAGAAAAACGGATAACACCATCGTGATCAGGAGCCAAAGAACCACAAGATACGACAAAAAAAATTTTGGTGACAGTTCCCCTTTAACTCTTAGGCTGCGTTTACACGACAACGCTGGGGGCGAAAACGCAACGAAATCCTTTCGGATCCATGGTTCATTTACACGGTGCGTGGAGCAAAACGTAAAAGTAACTTGTACACCAAAACGGAAGAAAACCAAAACGCTGGCCAAGGTGGAAGAATTTGGAAACGGAAATGTTCTGCCGGATAAATTTGGGTGTGTAAACAGTCGAAACGGTGTGCTGGCCTCGTTTTCCGTCGCGTTTGTTTCGTTTTCGGCCGTTTACACGGATCCGACAATCCAAAAAAATTGTTTTTACAATATTCGTCATGTGACGTGTGTTGTCGTGTGCCTGCTTTCAACCATTACTTGAGGGTGATTTGTGCTTCCACGGCAACACTTGGCACATGACGAACTTTGGCGGATCCTTTGCTCTCGTGTAGACGCTTGAAAACGATACAAACGGAGACCACCTTGGATCGGCTTTGATCGTGTAAACGTACGAAAACGAAAAAAGAAATGCGGGACTGAAAACGGAAAACTGGCCGTGCGTTGTCGTGTAAACGCAGCCTTAGTCAGGCCAATGTTCCCAAAAGGGAACATTTCTTTCCGCATGCGATTTGGTCAAGGGAAATTCATTTTTCCTCCGCATTTTCTGTTTATATACATATCCAGAAGGCTGATGATCATGAATCTTGGAATATTTGTCAGGCTTTTGAAATTTACAAGTATCGGGATATAACGCGAAATGTCGTGAATTTTCGGTATTCGGCCGTACTTCAGAAATTGAGAATTCTCGTGTGAAAAACAGTCTTTCTCAGAGTAATCCACACGTAAGAAGTGCACTCTGCTACTATGGCCACCCAACTGGCCTGAAGATTCACCGGAAATTTGATCATGGCACATAGAAACCCGCCGTCTTTCTTCGATGTTCCCAAAAGGGAACGTTGGCCTGATCCGAGACCCAGATATACCTCATTTTCACCTGACTTCAGGAACCAGTATATCTAGCGCATATTCCTTGTTTGTAACATCCGTAAACGTGGATATATAACTGATGGAGCCTTTTTGATATTTTGATGGTGATTGGACCGTCTCCATGGTAACCAAATTTGGTCATATATTTGTGATTCACTAGCATGCGGAATACAGCAATGCTGTGCTAGACTGACATTTGCCAAAGTAAAGATTGCTAAACAGTCTCCAAAGGAATATACTTCTGAAGTAGGTTTTCTTTTGTGTAACAAGATTCACTTGAACAATATTCAGCAAAGTATGGATGTTTTATGGCGTTCTCCTGGACTTTCGATGATTGTTTCCTCCGCGCGGTTGCATTTTTGTCAGAAAATATCGCTTTAGCTGTAATGTGGTACGGCAGAGAGAAAGGTTTACAGTAGCAGAGTCCTTTCTGGAAAGGGACTCAAAAGTGATTGCAATGGAAGCTGAGGACATTGTTGAGAACTCCAACACACTTCAGGACTTAGTCCTAGCGCCACCGATTACTGGCAATCTGAACGTAAGCGCTATAGGGGTAAGGCATCCTGCAGCTCAGGAACTCGAAAAAAAGTGGTGAGCACACTTGCTCCTTCTCTGAGCACTGCAAATTCACAACTGCATGGTGCTAATGATTCCGTGATTCTGATGCAGTGAATTTGCTGTGCCCAGGGAAAGAACATGTGTGCTCACCACTTCTCGTTGATCTGAACGTGGACGATGAAATAGAGTAGTAATCGGATGATTCAACGGATGATAAGGGTTTCATCGAACTTGCAAGAGATATGGACGTAGACAACTACCACGTGACGAATGGAGAGGGTAATGATGTTGGTGCCTTTCCAGTTGATAGTGAGTACGACCGCAAAAAACGCCAACCCGCTGAAGCAACGCGTTGGGTGAAATAGACTGGTGTTTACGATAGGCGTCCTGAAATTGAACTGGACAAATCCCTTCACGATCACCATGAGATCACTACAGCATCACCCACTTGCCAATCGCGAGATATACACACCCTGTACATCTCTAAACACTATTGGACGAGTAAATACTGCGTGATACCCGCGATACAGACAAGGCCAACATTAGCTCGGAGACCAACAATCTTGAGAGATTCCTTGTAATTCTTTTTGTCTGGCTCCACATTCTTACAACTGATCTGAGAGTGCCACTTTTTCAAGCAGCGGTGAGCCCCAAGCCGATGTCCTACATCCAGGCTCATCCCGAGATCGCCGTCCTATTTTATTATAGCCGACCCCGCCCAGAAGCACCAGTGTCTTGCTGTTCATGTGCAATACAAGCGCGTTTGACAACAAGAATGTGGACAACACAATGTCGTTGTATATGGTGCAGACAAACCACGATATGTTACTGTTCTAAGTGTGGAGTTCGACTGCATTTCGATCGAGGATCGAATGCCACGGTGTATACGAGACGCGAACGGTAGCAGCCGAAAACACTAAGAAACATTGCTGGACACTCTTTGACGACTATTACATATGTTTTCTTCTCCATTACTGCTTGTTCATGTTTGCATTGCTCCACAAACACTTAGAAGACAACATAATCCATTATATCATATTGCATCTTCCCTTCATAAAAACCATGGTCATTTTGGCATGCGATCCGGCCAACGTTCCCTTTTGGGAACATATATATATTTCCATAACGCATGGACATATTCAGTTCAAACTTATAAACATGCTTAATTGGTCCAATACAAGCCGAAACAAAAGAAAAAACCTGCAAGAATACGCTGAATTCTTGTGACGGCCAAATTAAGGTTAAATAACAACTTGAGAGAGTTGTGCTGGTGATGCCTGCGTCTTGGGATTTCCTTGCACAGGTGCAGCCTGGTCGGTATCGCCCGCTACAGTCTCGGCATAGCAATGCCAAGTGTGTTCATTGCCATCAACCTGTTTGTCTTTGGAAAGATTGCTCTGGTGTTGAGACGGCTGCATAAGAAAAACCACGCTGATGCAGCCAAAAGAATTATAAAGCAAGCCAATAGCTCTATCGTGCTGTTCTTTATACTGGGCCTTGGCTGGCTGCCCTCACTCATTATCGCAATCGTGGATTGCCCGGCATCATTTGCTGTGCACTACTACCCAATTGTGGCACTCCCGATCCATTCTGCTGCCATCATTGTGTTCCATGTGAGAAATGAGTGGGCCTCTATCGCAAAGTGCTTGCGTTGTGTGCAATCCCGCACTCGGCTTGCCTCTGTCCTCTCCACCAGAATGAATGATACAGAAATGTCCTCTGGAGGCTGTATCGTGAGCAGCAGGAACAGCAGCAGCAAACGATACAGTAATCAAGGGCCTGGTCCCACGCACATTTCCTGATAAGAAGTGTAAGAATCATGACTACTCAGTTCCAAGTGCTTTCATCATTTTCCCCAACAGCCCTAACTCTGGATCTGTTTGTTCTTTCAAGTACAATAAAGCCGTTACGAATTTTGGATTTATCCAGGTCCTTTTGATTGCTTTTCTTAAATTGTTGTAGCCTCGCCGCCCCTTTAGAAATATGTATTGCCTTTTTTTTTCCTCAGTTGAGTCCTTCACCAGTATTATAATTACTTTGCTTTAAGGCATGAAACTTGGGAGTAAGGACAGCTCCACCCGATATTTCCACTACATCTAAATGTGATAAGGCTCTGTAGTGTTTGCTAGTTGGTACTTGCATCATGATGCAATCCTTTATATTATTTGACTCAGCTTCCTTTTCTTGCACCCCACGTGCACACATTCCTGTGTCTTCTATGCATCGGCCCGGGGGAACTAATTCTAACTCTTTCCTCTACCCGTCCACCGGGACCGTGATGTGTTGGTTCTGAAAGCACTTTTTTTCTAAACTAACCTGTACAATAACTTCGGCTAATATACAATGCAAAGGTTATACATGTACATATAATATCATTATACAGGGAGATTGCTCAGATTGGATATAACGACCTTGCATATAACGACAGCCTGATTGGGTTCAGCGACACAATTCTGTCGCCCGTCGTTTAGTAAGTCCTTTGGGTACGTTTTAGATCGGGTATAACAACCGCGAAAATAACGACAGCGGATTTAGTGACACATTTTGGTGCCCGAAGACCTGAAAAATTGAGTGAAAATGCATCGACTATAGCGACTTTCCCTGCAATTCGGCTTGTACAGTCAACTTCGCTTATAACGACACTCAGCGAGGCATCAGAAAAGTGTCCTTATTCGCGAAGTGTCGTTATACCCGAAGTCTCATTATAGGTATTACAGTTGGATGGGACATTGCTCTGGGCATGGAAATTCTGTCGTTATTCGCGAATTGTCGTTATATCCGCAGTCGTTATTAGCGAAGTTGACTGTATCGTACATATTATCAGGCGGACTGACATGAACATGTCTGTGTCACATGCGAGGATCTCGGGTGCACGTGTGTTTTGCCTTGTGTAACGGTAGGTCTACATGTACTGCAGAGCAGAAGTACATGTACATGTGCATGTACATGCCGCAACGGCACATACATCTATCTATCTACATGTACATGCATATCTGAAATCAATAATTATGTCTTATGCACATGCGCATCTGCAATCAATTCCTGGCATTTTGATATCCATGTAAGTTCGGGTTTAGTGACAGGTCGAATATACGATCATGTGTAGTATGCAATTACATCATCGTACACAATGCTTTCGCATAGTCGGGTGTCACGGTGACCTCCCACCTGTCTCAGTCTCTCAGAGGATCACTGCCACTGGTCCGGGACTAGGCATTTCCCAAATCGGCCCGATTTTTTTCGCCTAATCGGCTTTTTGATCAACTGAGAGAATGTCCAAATTCGCCCATATTATGAGCCACGAAGTCAGAATTCGGCTCAAAGCAGTACATGAAGTCAAGGCTTGCCGTAACATGTACATTTATATGCACGCTATACAAGCATTGAAACATAGATTTTCGGCAAATTCAGAGGGAAATTTGTAAATTCGGCGCAATTATCGGCGATTTCTTGACAGCCATTGATTTCGGCATCTTTTCCTGCTGACCAATTTCGGAAATGCTTTAATTTAAGTCGGAGTCACCTTTCGCAGTACAATGGTTACATAAATTGCATTTGCATGCTGCAGAGTAGCCATTTCCCAAATCGGCCCGATTTTTCGCATAATCGGCTTTTCAATCGGCTAAGAGAATGTCCAAATTCGGCCATATTGTGAGCAACAAAGTCAGAATTCGGCTCAAAGCGGTACTTGAAGTCACCTCTCACAGTATAGATGTACATGTACATTTACTTGCACGCTGTAGAGGCACTAGAACATCCATTTCGGCGAATTCAGCGCGAAATTTGTTAATTCGGCGCAATTATTGGCGATTTCTTGACAGCCATTGATTTCGGTGTCTTTTCCTGCTGACCATTTTCGGAAATGCCTAAAGTCGCAGTCACCTGCTCGGCTGTACGTCATGCCGGGAGCAGTAGGCAATTTTATACGTCGGATGACTTCCCCTACCCATGCTGGTCGTGGGAGGGACCAGTCATCCGCAAGTAGTGTATCTAGCAATGATAACATCGTGGATCCTACCCAGAGTAGCCCAAGTCCGAGGCCGGCCCGAAAAGCCGGTCACAAGGCCAAGCCCTGCAGTCCTGCAGAGAGTCTCCTGGGCAAGGACAATGAATCTACGCGGAGAGCAGGTCCAGGAGCGAGCAAACGACTACACGACGAGCGTCACGTAAGTGATAGCATTGACGACAGCTCATTGCCTGTGTCGCGTGTGCTGCAGCTTCTCGACTCGTTCAGAGAGGAATTTCGGGGGGATATGAGAACTGCACTTGCAGATCTCCTAGCTCCTCTCGAAAACCGCATGACGAAGCTAGAGAGACAGATATTGCAACTGCAAAAACAGAGTGAGAAGCTGCAGACTGATGTCAACAAATGCAAGGCTGCAGGTGATAAAGCCAATTCTGATGTCGACAATGGCGGGAAATCCGCCATTGTTGTCGACCTTCGGCGCCAGGTTGACGGCCTCTCTGCCAAACTTAGTGACGTGGTAGATAATTTGCCAAATAAGGTTGACCTCGCTACATTGGTTCAGGAAACGACCTCTTCGCGCACACACCAAGTTCATATCATGCGTGACGTCATGGCAGAGGAGGTGGCGAAGCGGGACTGTTTTTTTGTGCGATTTCACGCCACTTAACAATATGGCCGCCGAAAGTCTCGATTGGGCTTCAATGGCAAGAAAATTTGAATTTTCAAATCGTCAGAACACGAGTAGGCCATGGTTTCCACTGGATTTTGGAGACTAGTCAGCCCGGACAGCCCGGGGAACACGCTGATCATCTGCGTCTCGTTTCAAGCTTTCCGCTCGTACCTCACATGACTGCCTTTCCTTCAAGAAACATTTGTTCTGGGTCGTGCGACTTTGGCTTCGTTCTGGAATACTCCTTGTGTCGTCGCTGACAAACTCGGCTCCGAGAAGCCCTTCCCGATTTTTTCCCAGCTTAGATCGATTTTTTCCCAGGTAGAGGACTATCCTCTGGTTGTCTTCCCCAAGTGTCATTAGAATACGCGCGTGAACTTCTAAATACGCGCGACGAGTCAGGAGCCTGTTTTCTCTTGATTTCGAAGACAAAATGGTGTGGCCCTGTAGTTGCTGTTGAGTGTAGAAGGCTGCTTCCTGCTGTAAATTGCTTAGTCGGCATATGGGATATTGTAGAAGAAGACAGCAGCCGGCCAAGTGAGCTTGAAATTGTGATATCTACCCTATTGTGCGTTGAACGATTACGAAATGTCTAACTTGAATGTTGTACACGCGAGCACGCCAAGCAGAGGCTGACAATCACTGGCGAGATCAATCTCCAGACTGCCAGGAGTACTTCGAGCAAGTTTGAAGCGGAAAGACAGCTAACTGGGCAGGCCAGGACGCCTTTCCACCCTCTTTCTCTCTCAAATTGCCGAAAAGTCGAGTATCTCGCTCGAGCGCTTTCAAAACTTTTCTCTTGGTTTCGCGTCCCAAATCGTGGAACCACGCGAGGATCGACGTGAGTTTCTTGCAAAAACGCAAACTCATCGCGTATTTGTAATATTCGCACAATATTACATAAATCGCACCGAACGACGCCATATTGATAAGTGCCTGCACGTGAACAGCCGTGCGCGCAGCAACAACGCGGTTCTCCGTGGCCTAGTGGAGGCTGACGGGGAACAACTCCAGTCCATTGTACAGGGTCTCGTTCCAGGTCTCGATGCTGGTGATGTCCTCAGCGCAGAGCGCATTACCCCAAAGAAGCGGGGTGAGGCAACTGGGAACGCCCGTGCTGGCCCAAGACTGGTAAAAGTCAAGCTCACAGAGAAGGGAAAGCGAGTGTTAATGAATGGAAAACGTGCTGCTAAATATGGCGCACGTGATGTTTTTGTCAACCACGATCTGACACCACAAGAGCAGGCCGGACGTCGTGAGTTGATTCCAAAGTTTAAGGCCCTCCGAGAGAAGAATTTCCCCTGCACCCTACCTCGGGACGTGATCCTGAGTAAAGGCCGTCCTATGAGCACGGATGAAATTGCTCGCATTCTGCAATAGGATGCACGTGGGAACCCTTCTGTTGATGTCACATGTCCTAGTCCTATACAAGATTCCGAATTGAATATTGCTCATATCAACATTTCTAGTATACGAAACAAAGTGCATGATGTTCACAAAATATTACATGACCATAACATACACGTTCTATCCGTCAATGAGACATGGCTAGATGACTCCGTCACTGACGCAGCCATCCACATTCCACAGTACTCCGTCTTTCGCAATGACCGTAATCGGCATGGCGGTGGTGTTGCACTCTACATCCAAAGTCACTTGGACGCAAGATTAATTGAACTCCCATCGTCAATTACCACGGCATTAGTACGTCCTGAGGTGCTCTTCGCTGAAATCAATGTGCCACATGCAAAACGAGACCAACTGATCACTGTTGGTACCGCTTACAGACCACCAGGACAGCCTGTCGCATTTTGGGAGGCCTTCTCCTCCGCTGTAGACCACGTTATAGCGCGGAATGACAAGACCATCATTCTAGGAGATTTTAATGTTGATGTCCTAAAGAAGACATCACCACAATACGGACACCTACGTCAACACTGCCAAGAATTTTGTCTGCGGAATGTCGTGACTCAACCGACCAGGCTGCCCTCGGGTACCTGTCTCGATATAGCGCTATGCTCTGACGACCTCAAAACTTCCGCATGTCATGCCATTGCCCTGCACGGCATTACTGACCATCAGCTGGTCTTAGTAAAGACTGTCTTGCCTATGACTAAACCTACGCGAGTTGTGCGGCAGTTACGGAAGCCGCCATTGTGGAAACTGCCTGCAGACGAATGCACCGATTCCATGCTTGATGCACTCACTGATTCCGCCTTCCGCAGAGTACCCCCAGATGGCTCACCAGACGTTAACACAATGGCAACTAGCTTCTCTATTCTATGCAAAAGAGTTCTGAACGAAAAGTCGCCTGTGAAACAAATTACCATCAGTGCTAGGGCTAAGCCTAAACCACAGCCTTGGGTAAGCGATCAACTCCGAAGGTTGTTAGAAAGGCGCAAGCACCTCCACGCGAAGGTTTTGAAACATCCCGGAAATGAATCTGTGAAACAACAGTACAGGGCAACAAGGAGGGAAGGCACACTGTTAAATAGAAAGCTGAGACGAGAGTATTACAACAGGGAGTTTCGAGATGTGAAGAATAAGCCAAG